TGGTTGCTTGGTGGGCGTAGCCATGGTGGGTGTGGCCTAATCAGCCTCCTGCACCATAGCGGAGGAGGTGTTTTTGCCCTCCCAGGCTCCGGAGGCTTTCCTCGCGCCTCCGGGAGGGTGAAAACTGCTTCCCCGGACTCTGGAGGCTCTATGGAAGCCGGAAACAGGCCCATTTTGAGCCTTCCTGAACTTCCGGGAGGCCTGTTATTTGCCCTCCCCAAGCCTCCGCGCACACCGTGCACTTATCTGCATCCAAAATGGCCCACGTTGGGACTCCGGGGAGGGGAGGGGCAGAGTGGGCGGGGCCAGCCAGGAGTGGGATCTGGGGATTCTGTGAACTGCACAGAATCTTAGCTAGATGTTCTCCCGGACCCTTGCGAGCCCCCAGCAGCCCTCCCCTGGATGATCTCAGAAAGCCAAATCTCAAGAAATCTGAAAAAAATATCTCTTTTACAACCCAAAAAATGAGAGGAAACGTGAATGTTTCGTGACGAAAATGATCATATTTTTTTCCAGCTCTCTTTAGCTTAGTTCTATTTCTCATTCTGGTTTTTTTTTTAAATGCATCAGTTTGTCCTCCTGTTTGACGAAGCTTCTCACGATGGATTTATTGAACTAACTTTAGCCTTACTCTCTCCTAATTACCCTTTCCCCCCCTCTTCTATCGATCCTTTATCGTTTCCTTCCGTTCGATTGTGTCCGATTCTCAAAAGCTATCTGGAAAAGTCCCTGTGCTTTTCTTGGGAAGGTTTTTGCAGATTGGTTTGCCATTGCCTCCTTCTTAGGGCTGAGAGGAAGTGACTGGCCCAAGGTCACCCAGCTAATAGCCAATGATAGCCACTAGAGTTCCTGGTCCCCTTGTTTCTAACCTGATGCCTTCACCAAACTAGCTCTCACTTTACCTATCCTTTTGCCTGTTTTTATACTTAGATGGTAATTGCAGTTCCAACATACAGTTACACTTTAGATCCATCCTCCTTACATAGCTGATACACCTACGTTCAATTCAACACCTACACATACATTGCTGGGGCTTAATTCAACAGCAGACTTTCTTGACTACAAATGATGACAGAGTAAATGGACCGAGTGGGTGGATTGCACATACAAACATTGTGGTACACCAAGCACATCCGATGACAGAGACCTATGTAGGGTGTGGTCCAAAATACTCAAGATGTTTCTCCTGTTTGTTTATGTACAACACAAAGAAAAATGCAGGTGAAACTTCAATTACACCCATGGTTGACTTAGATGCTAAGGGCTCCATTTGCTGGCTTTATGATTAACTGGCCAAGTATCTCAGCTGCTGTGCATATTTATTTTGGATAAATACTTTATTTCATTAGTTTTTTATATTGCTTTAAAATAAAAAACTATTCAAAATAAAATAATTTTTTTTTTAAATAGAGTATATGTATTTTCAAATGAATGAATGTTGTATTATAACTTTATTCTGGAATGGGCAGTGCTACATCAAAATAAATAAATAAACAAACAAACAAAAAAACAAACAAATAATTGTAATCTATTCTGGAACGGGCAGCATCCTATTGAAATGAGAGGGGGAGGGAGGGAGGGAGGGAGGGAGGGAGAGAGAGAGAGAGAGAGAGAGAGAGAATGAATCCATTCTGGAATTGACAGCACTCCATTGAATGAATGAATGAATGAATGAATGAATGAATGAATGTTGTATTGTGACTTTATTCTGGAATGGGCAGTGCTCCATTGAAAAATAAATAAAGTATTGTGTTCTATTCTGGAATGGGCAACATCCTATTGAAATGATAGATAGATGGATAGATAGATAGATAGACAGACAGACAGACAGACAGACAGACAGACAGACAGACAGTCCATTCTGGAATTGACAGCACCCCATTGAATGAATGAATGCATAAATAAATATATGCCCAAATAAATAAGTAAATAAATACGTGCCTAAATAAATAAGTAAATACATACATGCATAAATATATAAATACATGAATACATGCCTAAAAAAAATAAATGAATGAATGAATGAATGAATGAATGAATGAATGAATGAATGTATGTCAAATGGGGCAGAGCTGACTAATTTGAAAAACAAATGAGAAATTACCTGCAAACTCACTCCCCACTCCCGATCAAGAGGCAGAGCTCTAATGATAAAAATTAGCTGAATGAGTTGGTTCTTTCTTTTTTAAGTTTGGCCTTGCAGGGAAGCCCTGATGGAGCCCCAGGGTTGCCTGGAATATGCCTTGAAAAAACCATTCTATGGACCATATCTCAAAGGTGCTTTTCTTTTTTCTCTCTCCAAAGGCAACTGGACTGTTTTTTTCTTTGAGGAAGACGTTTCATTTCTCATCCAAGAAGCTTCATGGGTTCTGGCGAGATGATGGGGGCGATGGAGATTTGAGACAACCGTGAACAGGATCACTGAGAATCCCCACAGGTGTTTCTATAGATCAGTCTTGCCAACTTTAAGATGTGTTGACTCTGTCTGTCTGTCTGTCTGTTTATATATTTATCTATCTATTTATCTATCTATCTATTTATCTATCTATCTATCTTCTAGGGGTTGCCACAAAGAAGAGGAGGTCAACTTATTTTCCAAAGCGCCAGAAGGCAGGACAAGAAACAATGGATGGAAACTAATCAAGGAGAGAAGCAACCTGGAATTCAGGACTGTAGGTCCTTGGTGCTCTCTGAGCTTGGTGGTTTTCTTGCAGGCATTTAATTACCCGACTAGGTAACATCATCAGTGTTAGAAGAGAAGAGGGTTTGCAGAGTGGAGGAGGAAGGCTGTGGAGTCCTTGATGCCCTCTGAGCTTTTGGTTTTCTTACAGATGTTTCATTACCCTACTAACTGAACTAGGTAACATCACCAGTGCTAGTGATGATCACTAGTTTAAGTAATGGAACATCTGCAAGGAACCACCAAGCTCAGAGAGCACCATTCCAATCCTGAGCTACATATATGCTCCTTTATTGATATGACAGTTGCAGCAATTGGATATGTCTAGTCTAACAAGAGAAAGACTAGCTGTCATGATAGCAGTCTTCCAATATCTCAGGGAATGCCCGAAGAAGAGGGAACTCCACTTATTCTGCAAAGCACCTGAAAGCAGGACAAGAAGCAATGGGTGGAAACTAATTAAGGAGAGAAAGCGACATGGAATGAAGAAGTAACTTCCTAACAACAAAGACGATTAACCGGTGGAACAGGTTGCCTTCAAAAGTTGTGGGTGCTCCATCACTGGAGGTTTTCAAGAAGAGAATGGACAACCATTTGTCTGGAATGGCATAAGGTCTCCTGCTTGAGCAGGGGGTCAGACTAGAAGACCTCTAAGGTCCCTTCCAACCTAATCATGCCATGTTTTGTATTCTAAACATGACCTAAAGAAACCTCATCTTTGGCCTCCTGAATCTAAGCCAGCCATGTGTTCTGCACAGGGGTTTCTTCTGTCTTGCCGATCGCAATTCCAACTGTTTCCAGCCCCAAACTGATTTAAAATACCAAAAATGTTTGCAAGAAAGAAAGAGAGAAGACAGAAGTGGTTTCAACTTCTTTTTTCCTCCGGTGTTTTAGTTTTAAAGAATTTCAGGAATTAGAACTCTGAAACATTATGTTCTATTTGGATCATAGAAGGTTATGGTAGAATGTATTATTACTAGTATTATTGGTATTAGTATTATCATTATTATTATGGTTGGTTGGTTGGTTGTACAACCAGCCAGATGTTTAGACTGGATATCAATCTATCAAGTTTTTCCAAAGACTTGGGAGAGGCAGATGTTGTCTGATGGTCTAAGTATCATCACAGAATATAAGCTGCTGTTGTTATTATTATTTTGCTGATACTATCCAAACATTTTTTTTTCTTTTTGTATTTCTATCCTTTGACATTGCATCTTATTCACCTTCTGGCTATGGATCAGAATATATATAAACAGGCATATCTGATTTGTCATATTTATTTTAAGCATTCTTAATTTTTTTTTAATGTAAGCTGCCTCAAGACATTTGCAGCTCGCCAGCCTATAAGAGTATTTATTTAATACTCTTATAGGCTGGCGAGCTGCAAATATCTTGAGGCAGCTTACATTAAAAAAAAATTAAGAATTCATGTATTTATTTAAATGAATAAACTACCATAAATCCTACATCACCATAGCCAAGTTTGACAACTGAATGTACACTTTCTCGCAGATTTGTCCAGCTGTGCGATCGAATTCACTATATCTCTGGAGCTTCCAGTCTCAGGTGAAGTCTACCTGACAAAGCTACCTGCGATAAACAGTCAGGCAAGAGCTACCCAATTTGTCGGCTGAGCCAAAATGGAACTCTGGTGCAAACCTAGAAGAAACTCTTATTTATTTGATTATTTTTTATTTTATTTTTTATTAGGTTGTTTGATTACGTGGCTGCCCATCTGAAATACATGACTCTGGGCATCTTATGATGTTTTCCTTTTAGGTAACAGATAACAGATAATCAGAGTTGGAAGGGACCTTGTAGGTCATCTAGTCCAACCCCCCACCCAAGCAGGAGACCCTTCCCCATTTCTGACAGATGCAGTCCAATCTCTTCTTGAAAGTCTCAAGTGATGGCACTCCCACAACTTCTGAGGGCAACTTCTGTTCCATAGGTTGATTGTTCTCACTGTCAGAAAGTTTCTCCTTATTTCCAGGTTGAATCTCTCCTTGTTCAGTTTCCATCCATTATTCCTTGTCTGGCCTACAGGTGCTTTAGAAAATAGCTTGACCCCTTCCTCCTCTCTGTGGCAGCCCCTCAAATATTGGAAGATGCTCTCCTGTCTCCCCTGGTCCTTCTCTTCCCTAGACTAGCCAGGCCCAGTTCTTGAAACCGTCACCCACCTGGGATGCCTTCCTACAAACCAAAAAGCCTTTAAGAACTGCCCCATCTTTTTTTTTTAATTAATAAAAAAGCCGTCAACACTTAACAAATAACACTATCTTCATTTTGTAATGAGATTTTTAAAAAGTGGCCATACCTTTCTCTGTGCAAATGATAGCCACCAAGAAGGCAACGAGCAGAGTTTTCATGCTTGCGAAGTTCTCCAGAGCTTCCCCAGATGTTCCTGCTAAGGGAAGGTTCTATTTATGAGGTGTTGGAGGTGTTGCCTTTTTCGTTGTTGGTTGTTGTTGTTTCTGTTATGGTGTGGGTTGCCTGAATTGCCATCACAACGAACTGCAGGGCAAGAGCAATGCAAATCTCCAAGGGAGGATCCCAAATCCAGTGAGGAACGCCTAATCTCCTAGCAAGATATCCCAGGCATTTAAATTCTTGCTCTGCCTAATTGTGCTTAATTGTCCAGAGAGAGCTAACTCTGAGTTTATTTATTTTATTTATTCATTTATTTATTTTCATTTGTCAATCACTTACAAGATATTAGGTATAAGTGTAAACGTGAGTCAGAATGCAGGAAATAGGTACGAATAAATGGGGACAATAGGACAGGGACAGTAGACACGATGGTGCACTTATGCACGCCCTTTACAGACCCCTTAGGAAAGGGGGGAGGCCAATAGTGGAAAGTTTGAGGTTAAAGGAATGGGGGTTAGAGGATGTAACAACAGAGTCAGGTAGTGCATTCCAGGCATTGACCACTCTGTTGCTGAAGTCATACTTTCTGCAATCAAGTTTGGAGCGGTTAACATTGAGTTTGTGTGCCCTTGTATTGTCGCAGTTGAAGCTGAAGTAGTCATTGACCGGTAGGACATTGTAGTAGATAATTTTGTGTACTATGCTTAAGTCCAACTGTAGGCAGCGTAGTTCAAGGTTGTCCAATTCCAAAATTTCAGGCCTGGTGGTGTAGCGTATTCTGTTGCGAGCAAAAGAGTGTAGCACTCATCTCGTGAAATACTTCTGGACTCGCTCAATTGTATTAATGTCCAATATACAGTGCGTATTCCAGACGGATGAGCTGTATTCAAGTATCGGTCTGGCAAAAGTTTTGTATGCTCTAGTTAGCAATTCGATATTTCTGGAGGGGAAGCTTTGTAAGATTAGATTTACAACTCTTAATGTCTTTTTGGCATCGTTGTTACAGTGAGCTCTGGTGCTTAGGTCATTAGATATGAGTACTCCAAGGTCCTTGACAGGGTCATCAACAAGGTCATATCCACCTAGCTTGTGTTTGGTGTACTGATGGATGGATGGAGAAACAGCCTCAGGTATCCCTTGTTTCTCCTCCAAAGAAAATACTTGGCCAGGAGATTGGAAATTACGGCTGAAATTTGCCTGAAGGGGTATAGGGTTTCCTGCTTGAGTAGGGTGGACTCCAAGGCCCCTTTGAACTCCATTATTCCACATTCTGTCTTTTGGACACATGGTGGAAGGCAAGAAGACCCTAACGCTTGGAGAAATTAAAGACCATCCTTGAGTCTGGATGGCTACAAGAAGGAGCTTAACAAGAACTCAGAAAACCGAGAACAAAAAAATAAAAAACCCCCTATTTCTCAGTTCAGTGTAACCATCTTGGTGAGATTTATTCACTGCATCTCAAAGAGTCAGAAGCAACTGACCATGACCAGAAAAAAACATAAATAAATACATAAATGAAATTTTTTTTTGTTACACTACTGTTATGGTTACATGTTGACACTTACGTTTTTCTTTTGCTATTTCCGAACAGGAAAAAAAAAAGCAAAGGAGAAACAAACAGATGTATCAACATGTAACAATAATAGTAAAATAATTTTTATTTATGTATTTATTTATTTTTTTTAGTCTCTGTTTTGTTTTTATGATCAATCAAAACAAAACGTATACTAAAAAAAAATACATAAAGAAATAAAAAAAAGAGCAACTTACCAAAAATTAGGCAGGCACGTTTGCTGGCCAGCTGCACCAGGGTCCTCGATTGGGATTAGTCTGTAGAGCAGGGGTGTCCAACCTTGGCAACTTTAAGCCTGGAGGACTTCAACTCCCAGAATTCCCCAGCCAGCAAAGCTGGCTGGGGAA